TTGGAGCTAGCGACCATTTCAGGGCATACGAATTGAGTCGTAGTGAATCTTTTTCTAGCGCCGGCAGAGTGAGCCCCACTATCTCCATCGCCAGATCAGCGAACATGTGTCCTAGGGTTCTACCGAGATGTCTTTGTTGCCGAGTATTTTGTTCGAGCGTGAATTCGACAGGATGTCGAGGCGCCTCGGTGAGAGGGTCTGGAAAAGACGACGTACGTTCTCATTCCGATTTGGGACAAATATGGCAAACATCATTTGGCAGGTGATCCAATCGCCAGTCTTAAGAGTACTGGGACGAGCACTGAGGTGGTACGGTTGTGGTCGCTTGGCTTGACTACATCGGTGACCCGTGAGCGGCGCGAAGAGAGGTTGACTTTGGGCTCATGCGCTAAAGGGAAATCTCACCGGTGCTTGACTTCTCGTCTTGCTGATCACCATGAAATCCGTTCTTGCAAGCGTAGTATGTCATTGAGAGGCTGTGAGATGGGCAGCCGTCGAAGATAATGCTGTCTTCTGGTCGAGATTCCGCCTCAGAGGAGGCATGAATCAGCCCTGTCTTATGCGCTATAGGTACGCGAGCCGTGCAAAGCGGAAATGCCTGGACCTTGGTCGCGTCACCCTTGGAATCAGCATCGGTCACATGCCTTGGGCCATCCCACTGCGCATTGCCTTGCGCAATGTTCAGTTCCAACGGCCCATACATTTGAAATCGGGCTTCTCTTCATGTTTCCCATTCAATGATTCATCATTTGCCATGCTAGTTCGTGCCTAAAGCGATTGCGGTCTATCCGAAGAAATGCCGAGTGCGCTCGTCGCGGGCTGCAACCAGATCATCGGATCTGGCGAACGCGAACACATCGGAAGGTTGTCATTCTTGTATATACAAATGTGACCGTGGAATCCTGCCGCATTATCATGAATCCATCTCTCCTTCAGCTTGTTCCGCAGATCAATGCGCGTCTCTGTACAGTAAGGCCTCCGCGGCCCCATTCGAAGTCGCGCGAATCGAATAATTATTCGGATTTTGTCGCCGTAGTGACTCCAGAGTTCCCATCTCGCGACCATGCACGTCACCATTCCCTTGTGTTGTAATCATCGCCTGTGTGATAAGCGAGGTATAGGGCATCGATGAAACCATCCTTCCTCGTGGTTGTCCGGGCGATCTCGGGATACTGCTTCAGGTTCGCGACGTCGTGGGAGGTATGGCGGCGCTTGAGCACTGCGTTAGCAGTAGCTGACTTCTGCCCGCGCTCCCAAAGCATGTTCCATCGGACAGATTTGGTCAATTCTGTCGCTAGCATGTTTTGTCGTGTGGTTCGGGGGGAGAGGACTGCTTCGCACCAGCGGCTGGCACTCTTGGAGATAGGCCGAGGAGCAAACCGTGGCACCTCGGTGATGGGCTTCAGATGCGGCCTGCCGTTATCGCGCTTCATCATTAATGGGGCGTCGTCGGAATCATTGGGAGAGACGGCTAAGGTAGGCAGGGCCGGGTGGCTGGTACGAAACGGAAGTGTTGAGACAGACCGAGAGGCAACATTCCCTACCCCTCCGCGGTTGTCCATCTCAACCACCATCATGGTAATAAGAGAGCGACGCGAGGTCAGCTTGCTGTTGTTGTCGGTACGCTGGAAAAAGGTCTCCTCGTCAATGCTAGACCTTTTGCCAGTCTCGTCAACGCAGTCAGTGTTTGAGTTTTGGTGGAGAAAGGCTTCCGACTCGGAATCATCATCAATTGCGCTTTCGTCAACGCAGTCGGTGTTTGAGTTTTGTTGGAGAAAGGCTTCCGACTGGCTTATAGAATTCTGGCGACGATTCGAGGTAACGTCGCTTTTGGGGGAGCCTTTGGTCTCGCAGTCGCCGACGGGGGGTTCGTTATGCCTTTGCACGGGAGGCTGAGAAGTTCTCTGCACGTTGCCCTGAGACTCCTTGTCGGATTCGAGGCCGTCCAAGGTCTCGCTTGCCTGAATATGCTCGGTGACCGAGGGATGGCTGGACTCAGAGAGGGCAGCCAGGGATCTGCGAGGTGATAGCAGAGGGCGACTTTGACATTCTTGTGAGAGTGTCAAATCGCGGACAACGATGGTGAGGGGCCCAATATCAGACGAAGGAGTCTTCTGGAGATGCTCCTCGTCTAAGGCTTTGTCAAATCCCTTGGTGACGCCAATCGCGTATTTCTCATCATAAGACGGCGAGGAAGGAGAGTCGACGCTGTGAGAGAGTTCGGGGACAGCTTGTGAGCGTATTGGTAGACTGTAGGTGGCGATGGAAACTTGATGCTCAGCACTGAAAGACAACCTGATGTCTTCGTGATGAAATCCTAGCA